AGTGTGCATACTTCTCATTTTTTGCAGTTAATGAGCCTCTAAAGAATGAAAAGGAGGAAATACAGGTAGATGACAGACAGTCAAAAAGCAAAATCACTGAGGATCATTTGTTTTTTGATGCCTTCTACCCATACAATCTGTCCAGTATATCCACAAAAATGTATGCAACTATTTTTCTTTCTTTTTCTTTTTTCCTTTTTTTTTTCCTTTTTTTTTTTTTTTTTTTTTTTTTTACTAATTACAAGATTTAGCTGCTGGACCTTGATCCAGTTCTGGAAGTCCACTATGCTTTACGACAACTGCAGTGATATCTTGACTAAAAGATTGCTGTGACTTCACAATACTAAGAAACAATAAGGTATACGTCTGCAAAGACCGTGTGCGTATGGAACTACTTTGTGGTCTACATTTTATACCCATAACAGATCTTCATGAGGACATTTAGGCTGCACATTCAAGTAGAAAAAAACACATTCAATATCACTTGCACACTTTGCCTTGAGAAATAGATTTGAAGTGAACAATAATGATGTTTTCTTATCCAAACAACCTAAATTCTCATGACATACTCAGATATCAATAGAACTATTTGATGCCTGCAGTGCAAGTACATGAGTACTGTCCACAGTGATTTGATTTTATTCATCTCATTTAAAAACTAATGGCTCCAGAAGTGTTTAGTCACCAAGTTGCCGATTACTTGGTCTACTTGATCTCACCTATTAACCCATTTCCTTGAATCTTTTGGAAAAGAAAAAATCTTTATTACTATCATTATTGAAATAGTAATGTTAATAACAATACTATTAACAATAACAATGCAATCAAAAATAAACACTCATTTGGAAAATTCACGGGATGGTGTCAACAAGTCAGGTCAGGTAGAACTAGTGATTGCTTCCTTGGTGATTAAGTACTCGTTAAGCAACACAAAACTACAGTGGACAGTGCATGTACCCAGCACCAAAAGGTTGAAAAAGAACTTTGAGAACTTTGAGAAGTTTGTCGCATATCACGAAAACAACTGATATAGTATCACAAATACATACAATGTATACCTCTCACCTGAAGCTGCAAGATAATTTGAAAACTTATATCATTCTATTTACTCTGATTTCTCATCTTCAAAATAGCATTTAAAATACTTTCAAAAACATTCATTTTCCTTTTTATTCATATATAAAAATAGACTAATACTCTGATATTTTTACAGAGAAGTATGTTTCCTCTTATATAATTTGGACTTGTTTATCTGGCAAGGATTTCGAGAGAAAAAGGGGTGTGAAAAAAATGCTTCACCCATAAAATATACCATCGCAGAAAGACAATGAGGGAGGCAAGTAAAGTACGTAAGTAAACATGCAGGCAGACAGATAGAAACATAGATATACTAATATACATAATGGATATAAGATGCAATACACAACAAATACACTCCTTGACTCATAAAAGAGCAAAGCTAAATGATAAAATAATTCCAACAATTCATTCATTTCTCTGAGTTCTTATTGCAAATGTAAATTCCCACATTCAGTAACCAAAAAATCAAATCATGGTCTCCTCCACTATGCTTTCATAAAAACATTAAAAATGACTAACAGTAACGGCAACTTTATGGCACTACGCTGTCAGCCTTTGAGCCTTGATGACAAACATCCTGAGAAAAAAATAACAATGTCAACAAAAACTCTACAAATTCTACAGCTAAAAACTCGATAAATTCTGAGGTGGTCCATTTTCAGTGACTGTCATTTGAGAAATTTCTAAACAAAAATTAGAAATTAACGATTCGTAATACTATAACATTTTCCATGAGGACTGATCCACAACTTAAGGGAAAATACTATGAAGGTTAAATTACTTACAAATTCTACAGTATAAGGAACATATAACAAATCAAAAAATAACGTGAAATTGTGTTTTCTTTCACAATAACATTTCAAGAACAATCTTCTATTGCAACAATTTAAAGCATAAGACGTGAAGTTGCTACATTACACATTGCAACTTAATCTTACAATTGCAAATCTTGCGCCTCATGTTATATAAATGAGCATACATATTTGAATAGTGATATGTTTGGTATGATGAAACCAGGTCTCATGAAAGTTTTTAATTCTGAACAGTATCCACGTGAGCTAATTCAACATTTTCCTTTGGATATTTATGAAGGCATTCAGGAATTTATGATAGCATTTAAACCTATCATGAGACCTGGAAAGCATTCCCAAATGTTTTCTATATAAAGGAACAATTCTGCAAACAAATAAGTCATTTACATATAAAGTCAGCAATAATACAATATAATACTATGCATATATTCATAAAATGAGCAAGTGATATAGTCATTACCATAAATGAAACAATCTCAATGCAAAACACAATATATACCCTGTATCAGCTAAAAGTGAGCTTCAATCTGTCACATCCACTTCCTCCTCTCTTTAGTCGTACCTTCAGAACCTCAGACTGTTTCTGTCAGTACGATTAGTAAGTCACCCACAAAATTGATTCACAAGATTGCCTCTTCGTCTGATGAACGGAATTCTCTCTCTGGGTGTATTTGTACGGTACGAGATAAACAAATTTTCTCTCTGGTCATGTCAAAACTTGACACCAATCCATGTAATTATCAAAATCTTTTGGCTCTAAATTAGCAAGGTGAATATAATCAGAATTCTATGGAATTAAGGGAACGTGAATTATATATTCTAAAAATGTCACCAATTCGTAATTCCAGGTCTATGGCCTTCTTTATATTTTCCAAACAGAAAATGTCCATATTATAAATATCAAAATCAAATGGTGTTGAACACACTTCTTCTCTGACAACTTTCAAAAGGGAAGTAATTTATCCAGGAGCAACATTTTCTAATTCTCTCCTGCTTAGTGACATAATGACTAGGTTTAATTTGAAGTTCAGGTACTCTACTCTTAACCCATTCGCCCCATGTGGCAAGAATACATGCCATGCCCACTGCCATACACGTTTATTTATTGTAATTACACATAGATGGCACTACAAGTTCTTAATCACCAAATAGCCAGTTTATCAGAACTGCCTATCTCACCTGTTTACTCTTTTCCTTCACTTTAGGAGAGGGTCTTTTGTATCATTTCAATGTCGAAAAATCTTTTAATGACAATTTAATAATAATAACATCATAACATCGATAGCAATGGTATTAATAAGAAAAAAACATTTTCCCACTAATTCAAGGAATGGGAAAATCAAGATCAGTAACTAGGGCCTACTGATAGACTCCTTGCCGGCTGAGCACATGTGGAGCCATCTGTATGTAACAAAATTCACCAAAAACTACAGGGGACAGAACATAAAACCGGGGCGAATTGGTTAATTCTAATACCCTATTAACCCAATGCTGCCAGGGAAAATGAACCAAAAATGGGGAAAATACTATTTTCTATATTTTTTGTGAAATGTCTGCCATAGATGGCACTGCTAGTGCTTAGCCACAAAGGAGTCAATTAGTAGACCTTGTGACCTTACCTGATTTGAAATGGCGGGAAAAACATATTTTTTTCCAGTGCTATGAATATCCATGGTGTTGTTTTTATTATAAACATTATAATTATTATAATGTTTTTTAACCCATTGCCGCCGGGGAAAATGAACAAAAAATGGGGGAAATGCAGTACTCCTTTTTTATATTTTTGTGAAATATCTCTGTCCATAGATGGCTCTGCTAGTCCTGATTTCACCTTTCCTTGAATTAGCGGGAAAAAACTTATTCTTACTAGTGCTATAAATATAGATGGTGTTATTTTTAACAGCAAATTAGGATAACGTTGAATATTTTCATAAATCGATGAAAAGGGTGAACGGGCGAGACAGGCAGCACTGTAATTGGCTCATTGGATACTTAGTACAAGTGTAGCCATCTATGTGTATAAACAATCAAACTCGACATGCCATCCCCGGCGGCAATGGGTTAACATTAGTAACAGCAAAATAAGATAATGTAAAATACTTCTCAAATCAAAGAAAAGGGTAAACGGGCGAGACAGGCAGTACTCGTAGTTGGCTCATTGGTGACTTAGTACAAGTGTAGCCATCTATGTGTAAAAACAATCAAACAGGTACTCACAGTGGGCATACCCGTCGGAATAGGGTTAATCTGGTATGTGCACTGCCAGGATAATAACTTTATCATCAAACTTAATAGCTCCTAACCCTTTTTTCCCACTATACCTTGAAACCAAAGTGGTTCCCTGCCACGGTTAAAATTAATATTCTCCTGATAGATTGAATCACATTAGCCAAAAGGCTACGTAACTCTGGGTCTGGATATACAAATCACGTGTCAACTGCCATCCTACTGAATACATAAATGCTTACAATTTAGCATCAATGGCAACTGCATGACTTATAAATGACACTGCACAATGACAATGAAAGGATTAACATGAGTGTGAGCAGGGTTGACAAAGAATTATCCTGTCTTATATATATACTTATATAATGTGTGTGTGTGCGTGTGTGTGTGTGTGTGTGTGTGTGTGTGTGTGTGTGTGTGTGTGTGTGTGTGTGCGTGTGCGTGTGCGTGTGCGTGTGCGTGTGCGTGTGCGTGTGCGTGTGCGTGTGCGTGTGCGTGTGCGTGTGCGTGTGCGTGTGCGTGTGCGTGTGCGTGTATTTAGAAAAGGTATGAATGAGAATGAATATCTTCACAATACAAGAGATGTATTTGACCAGTTTTGATTATATCTTCGTCAGAAATGCATGTAATAATAATCAAACCCAGTTCATGTATATATATATATATATATATATATATATATATATATATATATATATATATATATAAATATATATATATATATATATATATATATATATATATATATATATATGTGGGGGGGGGGGGGGGAGAGAGAGAGAGAGAGAGAGAGAGAGAGAGAGAGAGAGAGAGAGAGAGAGAGAGAGAGAGAGAGAGAGAGAGAGAGAGAGAGAGAGAGAGAGGGGGGGGAGAGGGGGAGAG